CCTGTTGTCCAGTGTCTAAAAATAGTTGTTTCCTATATTGTGTCCAGTTTTCTAGTTGTTTACAGTAGCAGGTTAATTACAGACCATCCAAAAGTTCCAAGATTATCCTGTAACAGCAGAATATTTTTATTTAGGGATAATTCAATTAAAACTTGATTTTAAATATTCTTGGCTTTTAAAGAACTATAAGTGGAACACTCCTTCACACTGTGTAGAAAAATCAGTTCTAGATGGATTAAGGGCTTAAACAGCAAGTAAAATTTAAAAATCTTTTTGAAAATATAGGTGAATAGCTTTTAGCTCCTAAGGATAGGGGAAAAAAAAGTTTCTGAAGACAAAAGTATTGGTTATAAAAATGGTAAATATTTAAAATTATGACCTTTTTAAAAATCAAGATCCTTAAATAAAAAAAAAAATGACACAAGGAGAAATAGTTAACATACATACAAACAAATGAAAAAGATCGTGTCAGGAATATACAAAGTTATTAAGAGTAACTTGTTGCTTTTATGCTTTTTTTTTTTTTTTTCTTTCCAGGAAAAAGCCTAAGGACTTCAACATGTAGAACCCTTTAGTTAAGGATCTCATGGATTTTATCCAGAAATTGACAGAGAGGGTTGTATCTTTGTTTGCTATCAAAAGCAGTTTGTTGATGGCAAATATGTCCTTTTAAAAATTAATTTTCAGGTAAAAACAGGAGTAATTGATATAGTGCCATTGGAAATAATTTGCTAGTCATAATGTAAATTGAATATTCATCAAGATCAGTAGCATGAACCAGTTCAATGTCTATTTGACATTTGGAAGCTAAACTTGGGTGATATTGCTGTGGCAAATGTCATTCTGCTTTTTTCCTAATCACTTCTGCGTTCAGTAATTTAAAGGAGATTCTCTTCTGTGTGTTCAGCAGTACAATTCCTGTCTGTTACTGGAAATTAGAGAAAATGAGATTTTAACTTTCTGGTACTATGTAGAATGAGACTTTACAATTTAAAAGCTTTAAAAATCTGTAGATGGGGGTTAATGAAGACATCTCTGCTGTTTGGTATTTCAGTATTTTCTATCAACTACAGAGCCCAGGTAATACTGAAATTACTTTTCCCATAGTGGTTTGTGCTCATTGTATGATTATCAGATATCATCTTCTGACATTCCATAGAACTGAAGTCATAAAGATAGACCAAAAAAATGACATGGTTTGAATTTTCATCATTTACATATTGTGAAATTTATAAATTATTTCAAAGCTGAAATTTAAAATTAATTTACAGAATCCAGAGAGACACTACCCTAAGGACACAAAAACATTAATACAAAAGAATACATTCACCTTTATGTTTATTGTAGCACTATTTATAATAGGTAAGACTTGGAATCAACCTAGGTGCCCAAAAATAGACAACTGGATCAAGAGGATGTGTTATAGGGCCTCCCTGGTGGCGCAAGGGATTAAGACACAACCTATGAAGCTGTCTAGCTGTCCACAGCCTCTGCAGCACAGGTTCAATCCCTGGCCAGCCAGGGAGCAACCCACATGGCACATCAGACCTCTCCTGTGTTGTCCGCTGCTCCCCTCAGCAGTGTATTTCAGGCAATTGGCCTGTTCTGCTCTCCCCTCTGTTTCTGGTGAATTCTCTCACCACCTGCACCTCTGGCATATACCCCAGCTCTTGTATGTGTAAATAAATAAATCTTATTAAAAAAATGTGTTATATATACACAATGGAATACTCTTCAGCAATCAAAAAAGATAAGCTCCATCCATGCTGCTATGAATGGCATTAGTTTAACGGAATTAATGCTCAGTGCAGTGAAATAAGTCAGAAGGAAAAAGAAAAATATTGGATAGTTTCACTTATAGGAGGAATATAGGGGATCAAGGGGGAAAAAATAACACAACTAAGAACACAACAAAGCAAAAATAAAAACAACTGTAAATCAGAGATGGTGCACGGGTCAATTGGTGGTGGAAATTCTATGGGGACTACACCAGAGAAAAGAAAGCAAACATTGTAAGAAAAAAGAAATAAAGAAATAGATTAATGGGGGGAAAAAAAAGGAACCCAGAGAGACAAAATTAGATCAGTGATCAGATAATTCATCCCTTCTCTCTTGGGGTCTAACTCAGTGAAGAGCGTCTCAACAGTACTGCAACTTGCCCCAGACAGCTGACTTAGCAGTCTGAACATTCCACCTTGTAAGTTACATGGCCATTTGGAGAGTACCTAGTAACCAGTAATCTTTAAAATCAATGTACAATCACAAGCTAGAGTGTCACGGCTAGTCTAACTTTATCTCATGTCATTTATGAACCAGTCAATCTGAAGGCTTAAATTTAGGTGGAAAGATCCTGGAAGCACTGCCTGCTTTTATATCTTAAGTTCCCATTTGATTGTTTCCTTTTAAGTACTGAGAATATATTTTCTGATGGACATTCTTATTTCTCATGAATGGTTCTTTCTTACGTACTGTGGACACTAATGATAATTAGGCAGAGGGCCTCAGCAAGGACTATTTGGATCAGTTATTTTTGTTTGTTTTTCAAACAAGTGCTAGTGGATCTTGATTAATTTTTTTTTAAAGATTTATTTATGCAAGCACTGGGTATAGTCAGAAGCACGTGAGGGTGAGAGAATTCACCAGAGCGGGGAACAGAACAGGCAGACTGACGAAATACACTGCTGAAGGGAGCAGCGGGCATGGCAGGGGAGGTCTGTGCGCCTTGTGGGACCCTCGCCTGCGGCAGGGTATTGAACTGCAGAGGCTGTGGGCAGCTTCGCAGCCCAGCGCTCAACTGCTGCACCACCAGGGAAGGCCCTGGATCTTGATTAATTTTAAGGACAAGTGAAGAACAAAGCAGTCTCTGTTGCAATCTCTCTGTGTGTGTGTGTAATTTAAAAATGTTTTGGCACTTACAGAGGCCATTTCTGCATTAAAATTACTGAACTGTCATGCATCATGTATGTATTTTCTATTCCCTCTGACTGCACATTTAAATGTGAGGGGCAGGTCAAGATGTAGGTGAGAGGCAAATTGATATTCTCACTTTATGAAGAAACAGAATTGAATTAATTTTTAGGGTTTCTTGCTGAAATTGTCTCAAGGGCCTCAGGTAGTAGGCTTCTTTCTATCCTAGGAAAAGTTTTACTGAACTTAGAATCACTGAAGTGATAACCATTGAGGAAGTGCAGTCATAGTCTTTTGGTGCATTATCACAGACCTACTCTATTCTTGCTTGGAAAAAGATATTGGAGAATAACTTTGAACCCAATGCCACTGGCCAGTTTCAACTGCCTTCTTTATTCCTTTCTTCCTTTTGTGAGGAACTCAGGCTGACTTTATAATACTGATAACCTTGTGGACTTGGATTTAAGCAAGGGAAGGGTGATGCTATTGAGAAATTTGGACATTTTAATTTTGAGACCAGATTGACTTGGAAAAGTCTCTGCCCACAGGACAATGTATGGTCCTTTTTCAGGGGAAAACCATTTTCCTTTCTATGCTTTTGTACTTCAAAAGGCAGTGATGGGAATACTTGGTAATGTGAGATTCATTACAATCAGTTACAAATTTGAGCAATAATCACAGGAAGAAAACTCATTGATCAAAATTATACACATCTCTGGAGTCTGTTTAATAATAATTAGAGGTTTTGCTTTTAATTAGGGGAGGGATCATAGGAGGAGACTCGTGGCAGAAAAGTTTTGAATGAATAGATTACTTTTTTTTTGAAGATTTATTGATTTTTACACAAGAGCTGGGGTACAGGCCAGAGGCAGGGGAGGGTGAGAGGATTCACCAGAGACCGAGCAGGGAGCAGAACAGGCAGACAACTGAAATACACTGCTGAGAGGAGTAGTGGGCGCGACAGGAGAGGTCTGCCGCACCATGTGGGACTCTCCCTGGCTGGCTGGGAATCGAACCGGCGCTGCAAAGGCTGCGGACAGCTTCACAGCACTGTGCTCAACCCACTGCACCACCGGGGGAGCCCAGATTACTTCATTTTTACATTTAATTTACACTTCCTAAATCATAAAGGATGGAAAAAATTTTTGAGCTTAAAGGAAATGCTTCGAAGTGATATGAGTAAATGATCTGTTTTTCATACATTTAAAATTCTGAATGATTTTTGCTAAGGCAATTAAATTTTTTCTATCTCTGTATTTGATATGTTCTGAGAATATAGAGTAACTTGTACTGTTTAATGGTTTTAGATTACACATTCCACCATACTCCTTTATAGGGCATGTATTCAAGAAATACAAATACATGTTTTCATTTCTTCACATTTACTGAGTACCTACTATGTGTCAGACTCTGTTCTAGAAGCTTAGCATGCATCTGTAAATATTAGGCAGAAATCTCTGCTGGTTTCTTCATCAGGTTTACTCTTCATTGTTATCAGTCCTTACTTTACATATTCCTCACTTTTTTGTTAACTCTGTTTTAGTGATGACAGGGACAAGAACAAAACTAGGAACTTCAAGAAAGTAGCTTTTGCAAAAAATGATCTATTTGCTAATGAAAACCACTATTACTAAGTAATCTAGGCCCTTTTCTTTGAAATTAATTTTAGAGCCAGTATGGGCCATATATAAATAGCAGTCACATTGCTACATAATCAACTCCAACTTTTCTCGTCGCTCTCCAAATTTGTTCATTCACTATATTTACCACATTGACTTCAAATGACTTAACGTTCTGAAAATAAAATCCACTGTTAAAAACTGATAAGTGCCTTTGAAGTTTTTAAAACTGCATGTTGGAAGTCATTTTACTAGTAAAAGTAAGATCATGAGCCCATTGAAAGGAGTAGCCCTCTTGTACATACAACTTCTGCCATGTTTATTAAAAATAAATTTTGTGTTATAGTGACCTTAAACATGTTCTCTGTTAAGTGCATAGCAGAATACACAACTCTCGTGAGGATTTAGATGATTGTGTGATTCAAATTTGTGGTAAAAAGTAGCTTTTTTCTGTTTGCTTTTTCCCTTCACCAGGTATACAACGTTTACATGGCAGGGAGGCAGCTGTGTTCTAAGCGGTACCGGGAGTTTGCTATTCTGCACCAGAATCTGAAGAGAGAGTTTGCCAACTTTACCTTTCCCCGACTTCCAGGGAAGTGGCCATTCTCTTTATCAGAACAGCAACTAGATGCCCGACGTCGTGGGTTGGAAGAATATCTAGAAAAAGGTAAACTGGCTTCTTAAATTCTACTATCCAGTGTAGAAATAGTGTTATAGGTAAATACTGCAACTTCTGAACTTCACAAGTGTCCTGTACTCTTTAGTGAAAGTCAAGTTTCTTACTATAGGTGTTGAATGATCTGAGTTTTGAAACCAAGGCTGCACTCAGTCCAATACAGCAATTAGTAGCCTGTTTCATTGGCTTACTGAGCACCTAATAACAACAGAAAAATTCATAATTAGTTTTTTATACTTAATGGACCTTTACTTATAGGGTTATATTATTTGCCAGCAAACACATTTGGACATACTCATCAATAGACTGAATTAATTTGGGAATTAAGTGGCCAGTGAAGATATTTTTAATAAAGTGATTCTCAACTCATTGGCATATCTTACATGAAAACTTTTTATTCTGCTCACAAGTGTCTATGGATAGGTTTGCTGAGTTGTGGATAATCTAAAGTTCACTTGTTGTAAACAGATTATATGTAGAACTATGGAAACTTACTTGTTACTTCAGAATTTCCAAACAATACATTACTGGTTTGTGAGAAAAGATGCTGAAACATTTGGTTACCTATGAAGGTGGTGAAAATGATACAGATTGCTCTGGAAAAGATAAAATTTCCTGGCTGTGCAAAAGAATTTTCCTTAAAATGCTCATTTAATAAAATAATGGTCTTGTATAGTATTTGGTATTTGTGTCCTTGTGTAAGAACTAATTGACCTACTTGAATTTTTTAAAACTTTAGTACAGAGCTTTATCCTTGAAGAAAAAAACACATTTCCCTGATAGAAGGTAGTGAAACTTTCTCTTCTGTTTTCAGCTTTTTTCTAACATGGAATGGCCTCTAAACATAGCTCTTGGGAAATGAGAAAGGTTATGAGGTTTTTAAATCAAATGAAGTAAAATCACCAGTGTCATTTACTACTCCCACGAGAATATCAGGAAGTTAACTCCCCTAGATTTGGACAATTAGCTACCTACCTGACTGCTTCCTTTCTTTTTATTGTGGGGTAGGTAAGGGTAGGTGGTGGTTTGGAAGCTGAAGTCAGTGAGGTGAAAGGATGTGCTCAGCTTAATACTTAATTACCTACCCATTTTTTCTCAAGTGGTTTTAAATGCTGTGTTGCTGGGACAGGCCTGTTCCTAAGCCAAATAGATATTTTCCCCTTTGTATTTTAATTTTGTGCTTGTTTTGTTTTTAATTGACCTTATCTTGCTGTATTGTTCAGCTTGTTAATAGTTCACCCAAGAGTGCAAAGTTAGCTTTATTTCTCTTTTTTCAATGACTTCATTTGACTATGTTTATTATTTTTAACAAGCTACATCTTCATACTTCTTGTTCCTCTGTCCTAGTCTACATTTGTATGAACATTTGTTGTGCCTTAAAAATCTCATATTCGAGGGATGGCATACTGCCTCAGCTTGCCTGCTACTGAGGATTTACACTTATACCTTGATATATATTCTTGACTTTACATTATTGATTTTAGGGCCTCATGCCAAATTTTTATCTTGTTTTCTATAGTATGCTCAATACGAGTTATTGGTGAGAGTGACATCATGCAAGAATTCCTATCAGAGTCAGATGAGGTGGGTAAATATCCCCTGTAGTGACTATTTACCTCTTGACTTCTTATGCGAAAAATAAAGAAACCAATTACGAATTGAATTACCATAAAATCTCCATGGCTTTTTTTTTTTCATCTTGCTTTTCATGTATATATATCTCTCTTATTCTTCAAGACCTAGTGCTCAGTCCACTTGCTCTTTGAAGCCTTTCCTGATACTCGTCATCGATTTTTCATTCCACCAAGAACTGTTTTTCTCTTATGGCTGTCGTTCTTTATTTTTTTTATACATTTAAGCAGACTGTTATTGTATGGTTTTTGCTTATTAGAGTGTGAGCTATTTGAAAGGCAGTATTTTTTTTTTCACCTTTATCTAGATGTAACTGACAACTAGGATTTGATGTGTACAATTTGCTATTTATAGATAGGTAAACATTGTGAAATGATCACTGTAACCAAGCTAATTAATGTATCTGTTATTGTATATAGTTGCCATTTTCCTTCCTTCCCTTTTTTTGGTGTGGTGAGATCTGCCCTTTTAGCAAGTTTCAAGTATACAGGATAGTATTGCTTCTACAGTCACTGTACTGTACTTTAGATATCAAAAACAAGAGCTAAATCTTGGTTATTTAAATATGTCTAGTATTTTACTACAATGTCAAGTATATTGGCAGTCTTTAATAAAGATTGATTTGAATAAGAATGTATATATAATGCTAATATATTAAATAATGTTACCCACTAATTAGATGTATGTCTTATTTTCCTAAATAGATTATAACTCTTTCATAGACAGAAGCTTATAATTAAATAATACTTACATGGTTTTAGGTAATGAATAGTACTTATTTATTTTTAAGATTTATTTTTATTTATTTATGCATACAAGAGCTAGGGTGTAGGCCAGAGGTTGGGGAGGGTGCAGTGAGAGGGGATTTACCAGAGACAGAGTAGGTACCAGAACAGACAGATTGACTGAAATACACTGCTGAGGGAAGCAACAGGAGAGGTCTGCTATGCCATGTTGGTCAGCTCCTTAGCCGGGGATTGAATAGTTTCGTAGTGCTGAGACTTAACCCCTTGCGCCACCAGTGAGGCCTGAATAGTACTTACTTTTAAATGGTAAATGAAGATAGAGCTGTTCCAAAATAGTTGTTCCTTTGTAATAAAAATTATAAGAAGGATTCCTTTGCATTAAGGAGGATAAGAATTTTTTACTCTTTGCTAAAAGAAAATTAGACATCAGAATAAATAACTCAGATTCCTGAGTTTTATCCATTTTCTTTTTAAAGTTGCCATGATTATTTCAGGGAGCAGAAAGGGACTTAAGACTACTACATGAGCCAATTTAGCATGTCTAGCCACTTAAAGCCAGAGAACAGTTGTTGAAACTACTGCTTTCAGCTGTTTTCTTCTTTTGTTTGTGATGTGTGAATTTTGGAAGCAAGCCAAAAATATCATCTATGCTTGACCTATACTGCTTCATGCAGGTTTTCTGTTTTGAAATGTAATATGACTTCAACATGTTTCTTTGCTTCCTGTTCATCAACCTGAAAGGTTGCTGCAGCCTGACATCAACTTTATGACTGATGCAAATGTATTGACTTATAAAATATCTCCCCCCCCCTTTCTTTGGCACTCACTTTCTCTCACATAGCATGGGTTTTTATTTAGCTAGCATGTTATGTGGAGAGAGAGGACATACTGGATCATAAATTCTTTCTCTGTGTCTTTTCCTCTAGAACTACAATGGTGTGTCCGACGTAGAGCTGAGAGTAGCATTACCGGATGGAACAACAGTTACAGTCAGGGTTAAAAAGAACAGCACTACAGATCAAGTATATCAGGTAAATTAAGCTTGAGCGAGTAGACTTGACTTTTGGAAGGCTTAAATATTAAGGAAGATTCATTGAGGTAATACATATAAAGTGCTTGAGTATCTACTGATATAACACAATAATTTATTTGATGTGAGCTACTGTTGTTGAGGTGGTTGTTGTTAATCTGAAAGTGCTTTGTCCTTCTTGAAAGAGAAAATAAATATTCCAGGTTGTAGGGGTTGTAACTAGCATGCCCCCTCCCTTTAAGAAAACTTTATAATGTATATGAAAAGAGGTTACCACTGTGAACCTCCATCTACTCATCTCACATATACAATGATTATCAAGATTTTGCCATATTTACATTATATCCTTTTTTCCTTTCTCTTTGCTTAAATATTTTAAAGCAGTTCATGTTATTGGACCTGTATATATTTCAGTAAACATCTCTAAAATATATGGATGTTCTTGCATAATCACAAGGCCATTATCAAACCTAAAAAATTAACAATATTTCTTTGGTATTAACTAATAAATCCAGTCAAATTTTCCCATTTGTCTTGTTAAGTGTTTGGTTTGTTAAGTGTCGGGATCTAAACAATGTATTTATATCACATTTATTCTCATTTTTTTAAAAAGATTTATTTTATTTACTTATACATATAAGCCCTGGGATCTAGGCTAGAGGTGCGGGGATTCACCAAAGACAGTGGGGAGCAGAACAGGCAGATCTACTGAAATACACTGCTGAGGGGAGCAGTGGGCGAGACAAGAAAGGTCTGCTGTGCCGTGTGGGTTAGCTCCCTGGCCGGGGGATCGGATCCAACTCATGCTACAGTGGCTGGCAGTGGCTTGATAGTGCTGAGACTTTACCCCTTGTGCCACCAGGGCGGCCCTCTTATGTTCATTTTAGTATAGGGTAGTATCCTTTCCATTCCCCAACTTTTTTTCCCCATGTTATTTGTTCCAGTTGTTGGGTGTGTGCATTGTGAAATGTCCCATACTCTGAATTTATCTGTTCATTCCTTTTACGTGTTGTGTAATGTTGTCTATCTCTTACTTTCAATGAATTATGTTTGCTATAGAGTCTTGATTAGATTCAGGTTCAGTTTTTTCGATAAGAATACTTCATATTTGGTGCTCTCTACTTAATGTTGCTTCTTACAATACCTGGTTATCCACTTCTAGTGATACTAAGATTAGTAAGTTTAGGTAGTGATAACCTGATCTCTCCACTGTAAAATTCTTCATCTTTGGGCCTCCCCCGTGGCGCAGCGGTTGAGCACTGGGTTGCGAAGCTGCCCGCAGCCTCTGCAGCGCTGGTTCGATCCCCTGCTGCTCCCCGGCCACCGGAGGAGGGTCCCGCATGGCGCGCAGACCTCTCCTGCCGCCCGCTGCTTCCCTCAGCAGTGTACTTCGGTCCTTCTGCCTGCTCTGCTCCCCGCTCTGGCTCTGGTGAATTCTCTCACCCTCCCGCGCTTCTGTCTGTACCCAGTGCTTGTATAAATAAATAAATAAACAAATCTTTAAAAAAAAAAAAGAAATTACTTTAAAAAAAATAAATAAATAAAATTCTTCATCTTTTATCAAATGAATTTATCAATGGTTTCTACCTTAACTAGTAATTTCATTAAGGGTTGCAAAGTAATGATTTTCTAGTTCTGTCATTTCTTCTTTAATAATTAGAATGCGGTATATAACTTTCTCAATTAAGCCTATGTAGTTATCTTGAAATATAGTTTCTAGGAAAGGGAATGTAAAAATTTCACTTCTTTTTATTGCCAATTTTCAGAGCAAAGAATTGGTTCACTAGTTGATTCCAGTGATCTCTAATGATACCATTTTTTTAAAAAGTATTTTATGTGATTTTAGATGTTTAATAAGATGTAATCACTAGCATATGTTATCTTTCAGATGTTTAGATTTTTCCATCTTTGGTGAATGGAAACTCTTACATGTTTACTTTTAATGCAACCCATTTGTTTATGATAGCATCCTTGCTTTTTGATACCACAGGCTTATCTTTTTATATTTCCTGTGCCTAATCTAGAACCAGCCGTTTGCCCAAAGAGTTTTAGTTCTTTTCAGTGATAAATAGTATTTAAACATGACTTGGATGCTGGGTGTAATCATTGCCATTAGGCCTTTTATTGGTCTTTTATTCTGATGTTAATCAAGGGTTTCAGGGAGACCAGCAGATTGCTGGATATTAATGGATGTTCCAGACCTTAAGAGCATTTAATTTCTTGCTCCGCACAGCCTAGTATGGTAACTTAGAGCTCTTGTAATCTTCAGTTCCCCCCTCTTATCAGGGGTGAATATAGGTCTGATATATGAGCAGATGTGGGAGGAATATAACCATATTTGGTTTATTGAGACACAAATATTCTACAATTTTATCCTGTTCAATTAACACTTTTATTGGGATTGATCTTGAAAATGGATTTTGGTATCACTAGTTTGTGTTTTGTTTGCTCTCTGTTCTGTTGTTATTTTGTATGTGCTTTAAGTTTTCATTTTATTTGCACAAGGGGTCTTTCAGTTTCTTTTTATTTGTCATGTTAGGATCTTAGCTCCTAGAGAGAAAACTGATTCTTATTTAAAATGTCTCTTTTAACCCAACATTTTGCTATTTTCATGTGGATATTGATGGTGATAAATCTTAGGACATAGAGGTCATTTGGATCATCTGAAAAACACAAGAATAATTCGTGAAGCGTGAATGAAATTGACAAGTAGTGTTTTTTTAAATCTTTTTTTAAAAGATTTTATTTTTATTTATTTATGCATACAAGAACTGGGGTGTAGGCTAGAGGTGCAAGGGTTGAGAAAATTCACCAGAGACAGAGTGGGGAGCAGAATAGGTGGATATATTGAAATACACCGCTGAGGGGAGCAGTGGGCAAGACAGGAGAGGTCTGCTGTGCCGTGTGGGCCACTTCCCTGGCCGGGCATCAAACTCATGTCCCAGTGACTGGCACTAGCTTGATAGAGCTGAGACTTTATCCCCTGCACCACCAGGAAGGCCCGACAAGTAGTATTTTAAGCTCAAGATCCAAGATAATAGATCTTGCATATTAACAACCTGTATGAAATGTGGCTGAATGTGTGATACTGTGTATTTAAGAACATTTTTTCCTTAAGATCTGTATTTATTAAGCACATTTTTTTTAAGATTTTTTTAAAAACTTATTTATGCATGTAAGAACCGGGGTCTAAGCCAGTGGTGTGTGGGAGGAGGATAGGATTCACCAGACACAGAGTGGGGAGCAGAACAGGCTGATTTACTGTAACATACTGCTAAGGGGAGCAGAAGCAAAAGAGGTGAGGTTTGCTGTGCCATGTGGGTTAGCTTCCTGGCCGGGGATCAAACTTGGGTAGCAGTGGAAATAGCGTGATAGCACTGAGACTTAATCCCTGTGCCATTACTGAGGCCCCAATTAAGCACATTTATTGTAAGTGCTATTTAAAAAGACCCTTGAGGGATGAAGTCCTACTTCAGAAAGGAAAGCTGATGTTTAATTGTCTCTCCTGATCAGCTTGAATTGGAGTGGATAAACTCAATCAGAGTTTATAACTGTTTGAGTCAAATACAGATTTTACCCTTTTTTTAACACATACTGTATATACAAATGTATGTACACATACATATAAAGAAGAATAGCTAAGGATAATTAATTTATTTTTTGTGATAACGAGCACAACTGCTCTTTTCCTTCCCCTTCCACATGCGTACATATGTCTTTTTCCACAGCATTGTCTGATTTACTTTCCCTGAAACTAATCTATCTATCCTATTTATACTTTAGGCTATTGCAGCAAAGGTTGGCATGGACAGTACAACAGTGAATTATTTTGCCTTATTTGAAGTGATCAATCATTCCTTTGGTAAGTTTTGTTTTGAGGTATCTTATGCTGAAACTGTCAAAATTAAGCTCTCAGAAGCTATCAGATGGAACCAATTTGCCTAGAGGAGAAGAGCTTGAAGGTAGGGGAGAGCACACTTGTTGAGACTGTCTCCAACTAGCAGACCAGGCAGTTCTCATCAGGCCAAGTCTGAAAGGTGTCTGACAACTAGTGACCCTTTTTCTCTTTTGTAAATTATAAGTTACCTAAACTTAGTAGATAATTTCATGAAGTTCTTTTACATCAGAGGTTCAAAATGAATATACTCCTGTGAAACCACCTTAAAAAGAGGGGATGTTCTATTTAGCCACAACTTGTTTTAGTGTGCTTTCTGCTTTTTGTAAATTTTTGAATTATTAGTTATGGCAGGTTACAAAATCAACATAACAAAAATCCGTGACTTCTATATACAACTCGAAGCAGCGGTAATTAAGATAATTCCATTTATATAAAATTGCTTCAAAAAAATTAAATACCTGGGAATCAACCAAACAAAAGAGGTGACAGAGCTATATAACAAGAACTAGAAGATGTTATTAAAGGGCTTAGTGACATAAAGAGATGGAAGGACATCCCATGCTCATGGATAGGGGTGTATCAATGTAATGAAATGACTGACTTATCTAAAATGGTGCACAAATTTAATGTAATCCCCATCAAAATGCCAGTGATATTTTTCAAAGATATTAGAAGGAATTGAAATGTTATATGGAACCACAAAAGGTCTCACATTGCAAAAGCAATCCTGAGTAAAAAGGAGAGAAATGGAGGTACCATGTTACATGACTTGAAGCTTTACTATAAAGAAACAGTATTAAAAAAAATATGGTGTTGGCACAAAAATAAATCCATGGACCAGTTGAACAGTATCAAAAAGTCCAGAAATAAATCCACTCCTATGCTTAACCTATAATAAAAATTCATGATCACAAAATGGGGAAAAGACATTCTCCTTAATAAAGGATGCTGGAAACATTGGAAAGCCACACAAAAATAAAGTCCAAATGGAGTAAAGATTTACATGTAAATCTAAAACACATAGAAGAAAACTTTGGCGATACATTCCACAATATCAATAATAAAGATTTTTAGTACAACTCCTATGGCAAGGGAATTACAAACAAAAATAAACAATTGGGATTACTTCAACTTAAAAAGCTTGTGTAACCGCAAAAGAAAATACAAGATCATTAAACAGACACCCTACTGAATGGGAAAAAATATTTAAAAAGTATATAACTGATAAAGGATTAATACCCACAATATATAAGAAACTCACACAGTTCAACAACAAAAAGACAGCCCAATTGGATGGGCAGCACATATGAACAGATAGCTCACTAAAGAGGATATCCTACAAGACCAAAAGACATGAAAAATGTTCATCATCACTCCTAATAAGAGAGATGAAGATTAAAATTACATTGAGATACCATATTACACCCATGAGAATGGTACATATCAAAGAGATCCCCAATAACAGTGCTGGAGAGAATGTGGAGAAAAAGGAACCCTGTTACACTGTTGGTAGGAATGTGAACTGGTACAATCATTACGGAAAGAAATCTCAATTTACCCTATATAATTAAAAATAGAAATATTGTATGACCTAGCAGTCCCACTCTTGGGCATATATCCACAGAATATGAAAACTTCAACAAAAAAGAAAACTATCTTTTCCATAATATTTATAGCAGCAATAGTTACAATAGCTAGAACATGGAAGCAGCCTAAGTCTCCATCAGTAGACAAATGATTCAAAAGATGTGGTACATACATGCCGTGGAATATTACATAGCCATAAGAAAAGATGAAATGCAGCCATTTTCAACAAAATGAAGGGAATTTTAAAAAATTCTATGCAGCAAAACAAGTCAGAACAATAAAAACCAATATTAGACCTTTATATAACAGGTAATATGACAATGAAAAAACACTTTCTAAAACTGGTGGACGTCAACAAACATCCTGAGGGCTCTGAGATTAAGTGGGAAGGGAGAGAAAGGGATAAGGAGACACAAATATTGTGTTGGGGGGGGCAAATATTTAAAAATAGCTTTTTGTTTTCAGGAATTAGAGATCCATTGCTTTTAAAAGCCTTGGCTTTAACACATTATAATATATCAATACATGGTAGCAGGAAATTTCTCATATTTTATTTCATCAAAGCTAAAAGATGGTGGTAACAATGGTTGCTTTAAGACCACCAAAGGGAGAAACTCATCTGAGGACTTGCTCTGGATGACATAGATTATCTACAGTGTGTGGGGCTTCTCCACATCATATGTAAATATGGGCTAAAGCTAGAAATGAGAGTTAATATTGATTGGTTAGACTCTTCATCCCAGAAAGGACGAGTTAGTAGGTTGGGGTTGCTTTGTTGACAGAGGATCAAGATAGAATACCTTTAATTCCTCCTAAAGCAGCCATCTCCATTTTTTTTTTTTTAAGATTTTTTTTTTTATTTATGCATACAAGAACGGGGGTATACAAGCCAGAGATGTGGTGGGTGAGAGGATTCACCAGAGACAGAGCGGGGAACAGAACAGGCAGACTGACTGAAATACACTGCTGAGGGGAGCAGCGGGTGAGACAGGAGAGGTCTGCTGCGCCATGTGGGTAGCTCTCTGGCTGGGGATTGAACTCATGCTGCAGAGGCTGTGGATAGCTTCACAGTGCTGTAATTAGCCCCTTGCGCCACCAGGGAGACCCCCTCTTACTATTTTTCTTCCCAACTTCCTCCCGTTAATTAGGCATCTATAAATGTTACGAAGTCTTACTAGGGAGCCAGGGTACTTGGATTCTAATCCTCTAAGTTTTAGTAAATAAATAATATGAGCAATATTAAATCTATCTTTTACAATGTTAGAAAGTTAAGAAAACATCAAGTGAAGAAAACCGGACTTTCCCAAAAAATGCTGTATAAATTTTTTTTTTTTATTTTAAAGATTTATTTATTTGTTTATTTATTTATTTATACAAGCACTGGGTACAGTTAGAAGCGCGGGAGGGTGAGAGAATTCACCAGAGCCAGAGCGGGGAACAGAACAGACAGACCGATGAAACACACTGCTGAGGGGAGCAGCGGGCAAGGCAGGAGAGGTCTGCGCGCCATGTGGGACCCTCACTGGCAGCCGGGGATCGAACCGGCGCTGCAGAGGCTGTGGCAGCTTCGCAGCCCAGCACTCAACCGCTGCGTCACCAGGGGAGGCCCTAAATATTAGTAGCAGTATTGTTTTGTCCTGTTTGTACATTGGTAGGAAGAGGAAGTAATGTTACTCAGAAGACACTTGTCATTTTGATGAGTGCTTTAAGGTTGAGGGGTGGGGCTGTCCTTTCATCTCTTAAAAATAAAGGCATTTCATTAAGTATTGCCACATGAAAGAATGAATGCACCATAGCTGGGTAAGAAAAGACACTTTCTTTAAAGATCTGTTCACTGTAACTTACCAGGTAGTGGGTAGATACTAACTGAGTTTGTCTGCAGAGTCTGTCTGCAGAGTCAGCATGTTAACTGAAGGGCCTGTCATTCAGGTAATAGATTTTAGTCCATTTGAGGCTCGACTGGCCATACACATAGTAAGAAGGGCTCGATTTGACTAGATAAATGGTTATTTTGTGATCCAAAGGCAGACTTCCTTGATGGATCTAAACTTCTGTTCTGGTTAATGATAACCATAATTTTTTATGCTGGAGAAATTTGTATATATTTTTTCAGTCTAGATTTCTTTGTTTTGTTTTTTCTTCAGTACGTAAACTGGCCCCTAATGAATTTCCTCATAAGCTCTACGTCCAGAATTACACATCAGCTGTGCCAGGTACCTGCCTGACCATTCGAAAGTGGCTTTTTACAACAGAAGAAGAAATTCTCTTAAATGACAATGACCTTGCTGTTACCTACTTCTTTCATCAGGTAAGTAAATTGCTCTTCCTAGAAAAGGCCTGATTTCTTTTTCTGTTTGTATGTAGTGAGTAAGTTGCCAATATAATGTAAATCCTTAGGTAAGCTTCTTTGTCTCCTGGATCTTTCTTAAATTTTTAAAGTGCTCTGTCCCATTTTACAAAAGATAAATTTAAGAAGTGAAGATTCCCTCAAATTTAAAATATATTATTATTATCTTAAGCAACAGAAAATGAGCTCTATAGCTATATAACTTTTCAAAAACTTTCATCAAAATTACACATACAGGGCCTCCCCAGTGGCGCAGCAGTTGAGTGCTGGGTTGTGAAGCTGCCCACAGCCTCTGCAGTGCCAGTTCGATCCCTGGCCACAGGGCGAGGGTCCCACATGGCACGCAGAACTCTCCTGCTGCCCGCTGCTCCCCTCAGCAGTGTATTTCATCACTCTGCCTGCTCTGCTCTCCCCTCTGGCTCTGGTGAATTCTCTCACCTTCCCGCGCTTCTGACTGTACCCAGTGCTTGTATAAATAAATAAATAAATCTTAAAAAAAAAAAAATGCATCCTGTTCTCAGGAGGCTTGTAATTTAAAAAAAAAAAAAAATTCACATACATAGTGTAAAGCATCAAATAGCACCACACAGGTTATTATGAAAAATGGTAGTTGCTCTCACTTACCACATCTCCCCCCATAGGTAACCATGCTCACTTTTTTTAGCTTTGTTTTTTTTGTTGTTGTTTTGACCTATATTTACTTTTATGTCTCTAGTATACTGTAGTTACATAACATACTATTAATCATAAATTGTCATTATATAATAAATTTAGTAATATAATTTAGTACGTTGCTCTCACTGTATCTCAATTTTCCACTGTAGATGTGGTTTTTATCTCTATCCTCCCTCATTCCCACTACATACCCATATTTCTCTTCATCTTTTTTTTATTTTAAGATTTATTTATATATGTATACAAGTACTGGGATACAGGCCAGAGATGCGGGGGTTGAGAGGATTCACCAGAGACAGAGTCGGGAGCAGAACAGGTGGATTGACTGAAATACTCTGCTCAGGGGAGCAGCAGGCAAGGCAGGAGAGATCTGCGGTGCCATGTGGGTATCTCCCTGGCCGGGGATTGAACTCGTGCTGCAGTGGCTGTGGATAGCTTCATAGGTTGAGGCTTAACCCCTTGCGCTACCAGGGAGGCCCTCTACATTCTCTTAATAAAATCAGACTACTGTAATAGTTTTAGATTAATACTCAGCATTTACATTACTGTGACTATAAATAATTAATATAGCAGAACCTTGTCATGAATACTTGCTTTCCACTTCCTTTATAACATTTTGTAATTCTTTATAAGATATCCTGTTACTATTCTAATTGAATTTTTGTTGATTTTATAATTTAAGTGAAGAATCATTTTTATTAAATGTCATATTCCCAGCTGATGCATAATGTTCCTATTTTATTCAATTTCTTTTCCATTTCCTCAAATAAAGTTGTAGTTTTCCATCTTACATAGTCCCCTTAAGTTAATTTAAGCATTTTATATTTTTATTGCTATTATGAAATATTTTGATGGAGTGGAAAAATCATTAGCTAGGCGTCAGAATATCTGGTTGAAGCTCAAGCTCCACATTGGGTAAATCTTGGCATAAATTTGCTGAAATCTGTCTTCTGACCTGTTAAAGGACAGTAGTAGTACTTCCCTTTTAAAAATGAGTATCTACATGTAAACAGGGCAGAATATGTGAAATGACTTTTTGTTTTTGTTTTTGTTTTTTTTAGATCTATTTATTTATGCATACAAGAACTGGGGTATAAGCCAGAGGTGTGGGGGCTGAGAGGATTCACCAGAGACAGAGTGGGGAACAGAACAGACAGATTGACTGAAGTACACTGCTGAGGGGAGCAGTGGGCGAGACAGGAGAGGTCTGCTGTACCATGTGGGTGGCTCCCTGGCCAGGAATCGAACTCATGCTGCAGCGGCTGCAGATAGCTTCATAGGTTGTATCTTAACCCCTTGATCCACCAGGGAGGCCCTGAAAAGACTTTTTGAATTATAAAATAGTAAAAGTAAAACACTTTTACTTTTAAAAATATAAACTATAAATACAGAAAAGTTGTTACTTTTCTAGCAGAGTAATCATACCTAGCAACATTGCTAAATTCTCCTGTTGCCGGAGATGAATTGTTAACAGCTTTATTGAGGTGTAATTGGCATACAATAAACTACATATCTAAAAAATATACTTTGATAAGTTTTTTACTTTCAACCATTTTTTAAGTGTACAGTTCATTGGTGTTAAGTGTATTCATATTCTTTTGCAGTTGATTCCCAGAACTTTTTCTTTTTTTTTTTTTTTAATTTTATTTATTTATACAAGAATCGGGATACGGACCAGATGTGCGGGAGGGTGAGAGGATTCACCGGAGACAGAGTGGGGAACAGACCAGGGAGACTGACTGAAATACACTGCTGAGGGGAGAAGCGGGCGAGACAGGAGAGATCTGCTTGCCATGTGGGTATCTCCACGTCCAGCAGGGATCAAACCGGCACTGCAGAGGCTGCGGATAGCTTCACAGCGCTGCGCTCTACTGCCTGTGCCACCAGGGAGGCCCTAAACTTTTTCATCTTAAAAAACAAGTTCTATACCCATTAAATCACTCATTTTCCCCTCCCCAGTCCCTGGCAACCACCATTCTACTTTCTTTTTCTGTTGACTTTGACTGTTTTAGATCCCTGATTTAAGTGCATACAGAGTTTGTCTTTTTGTGACTGGCTTATTTCACTTAGCATAATCTCCTGAAGGCTCATACATGTTGTAGTACAGAACAGCGTTTCCTCCTCCTTAAGACTGGATAATAATACTCCATTGTGTATGTATGCCGCATTTGTTTATTTATCTGTGAATGGATATTTGGGTTTCTTCTACCTCTTGGTTGTTAAGAATAATTGTTATTATACACATGGGTGTGTAAATATCTCTTCAACATCCTGCTTTTAATATACCCAGAAGTGGGATTACTGGATCAGATGTTAATTCTATTTTTAATTTTTTGAGGAACTATCGTACTGTTTTTCATAGAGGCTGCGCATTTCACACTTCCAGCAGTATACAAACATTCAAATGATTTTTTGATTGGGTAACCATTGTGCCTTTTGGGAAAACTATTAAATTTTTCCTTTACTTTTATTTATTTTCGGTTACATATTTTGATGGTGGGAATACCTAATGGATTTCATTGATTCTAAGATGCCATTGATTGTAAGGTGCACTGTTATCTTATGTATTGCTAAGAAGAAAAAATAGCTACTAGTTAAATTGGCCCACATTGGTGCATCTTAGTTTGAGACATGATAAAATGTGAAAGAATGCGTACCTTAAAATCAATGCAATATTTAATAATGAGCCGTACTCCTAAAAAGCATAAGGTCAGAATTCATGGGGAATATTTAAAATCTTACTAAACCTAGTGCAGTGAACACGCATATGCATTTAAGCTGCTGCTTTCTATAAACTCTCTAAAATAATGGTAAAGGAATTTTAAAAGCCTAAATTCTGTAAGGATAAAGAGAAAAGATGAGGATAATATAGCAGATGAGAATAGTCAACATTTTTTACTAAATCATTGTTTAAATGAATGGAGAGAGGTTTTGGTTGAAACAAGAATTGGTGGTAGGCACCTGGAAAGTTACGACAAAAATATGTGGTAGTTAGTTAACATGGAAAAAAAGTTGTACAAGAAAGGAAGTCATAGTATAATACATGGTTTAGTTGTGAACAGTCTTTACATGCTTACAGTAATATATTGATTACAATAATACTGGCTATATACAGTAATACTGGATATATTATTGAGAGATAGGAGGAAGAGAAAGAAATGTTTTGGTGGTTTAAGAAGGTAAACTAAGAAGTTTAACTAAAACTTAGTCTTTTTAACACAGCAAGTCAACAATGTCCAAAATTGAAAAGGGACTTTTTAGTGTATATTTTAAGCATGTACATCTTTTACTTTAATGAAAAGATCTTTAAGGAAAAAAGGAATCTAGTGTTGTGATATTTCTATATTTCCACCTAGTACTAATTGAGCAATCCAATCATGATTAGAAATGAGAGGGGAGGGCCTCCCCTGGTGGTGCTGGCGGTTGAGCACTGAAGCTGTCTGCAGCCTCTGCAGTGCTGGTTTGATCCCCACTGGCCAGCAAAGGTCCCACATGGAAGCAGACCTCTCCTGTCTCGCCCACTGCCCTACTCAGCAGTGTATTTCATCAGTCTGCCTGTTCTGTTCCCCGCTCTGTCTCTGGTAAATCCTCTTACCCTCCCGCGCATCTGGCCTGTACGCTGGTTCTTGTGTAAATGAATAAATAAATCTTTAAAAAAAAAATGAAATGAGAGGGGAGAACATTTTTACTGCCCCACATTAAAATATTCCACTTAGAGTTGCTGGAAAAGATGTTTACTCTGCTGCATCTCTGCTGTTAAGAGTCAGATACGGTCCTGGGTATTGGGGATATGAGCAGTATATTATTTTTATTGGCTTTCAGAAAAAACCTGAGTTCAATGTAACACTTAAGTCATCTTTGAAACTGAGTAGATGTTTCCCTAGTTTATTTCTCTCCCAGATTTCTAATAATTGGTTTAAATATGGTCAGGGGCAGCCAGGGTCTTCTGGTGATAAGTAGCAGTGTTAAGGTTCTTCAGGACATTGGCAGCTCTTACTGAGCATCCCCTCTGTGAATACAATGCTCTGTGCCTAGGTGAGCCCTCATTTGTCTGTCTAGGATTGGGGAGTGATTGCATAATCTTTGCATTAGGTATTCTCAGGGAGAACATTAGTTAATATCCTTGTGTGGTTCTTAGAAGAACCTAACAGTAAATAATGCTGAGAAATAACCACACACACCCATTTTGTACAACTCTTAACATCTGTTACCTCATTTTGTTATCTGTCAATGAGATGAGTATTGTTTCTGTTTTACAGATTGAGAGGGTTTAAGTGATTGATTAAAGTACACATGGATAGGTGGTAAACTAGAAGTTGAACTAATCGCGCGACTTCAGTCCTGAATTCATTCTGTTCTGCAAATACTTTCCCTTAACAGACAATGGGAGTAATTTCTACATTAAGGAAATGGATAGTCTCTTGATGAAGGTTTAAGTAAACACACGCCTGGTGCCTACATAATTACCTTTGCAGTAACTGAGTACTCTGGACAGATCTTTCTAGATCTGGGTATAGTCATGCCTTTTATCAAGTCCTGTCAGGAGTTTTTTCTGTCATGGTTTCAGATTCATCACTTCTCTCTTCCTACTACTATTGCTGTACTAATTGTTGTACTTTAAGGATTTGTTCACTTCCTGTTTAAAGTACCTCAGCATCATTGGTCTCCCATTTCACTCTTTCCTTAGTTTAGTTCCTTTAACACTAATACACAGATCAGTTTTTCTTTTTTTAAAAAAAAATATTTCTTTAACTCCCTTCAGACCTTAATTGTAAATTCCTGTGCCTACTTCTTGGGTCTTTTGTAATCTGTCATTGACCTATCTGTCCAAGATTATTTTTCATTGTACCCTATTATGTACCATTCAAATCAGTTACACCTATCTACAGATTATATTTAAGGTCAAACCCTGATAACTACAGATGACAGTAAACTCTTCTGTTCTGACTGCATATGTCACTGTTGTCTTGTTCCTTCACTGTTAACCTTTAATATATGGTATTATATATACTTTCGGTGTTTTCCAACTGTTTTCCATGTATAAATTAATGGGACTTGAAATCTTTTAACACAAGAAACCAGATCTCTCAGGTGGCTGGAACAAACCGTAAGTGACATGTCAAATACTCTTTAAATGCTACTTATTTATATCCATGTGGCAGAGTTTGTTTAGATGATGATGCTATTCTAAATGGATGAGTTATTCTGAAAATGAATCTTTTTTTTTTAAGATGTTTTTCTTTGTTTTTATCTAGTATGTATTTGATAATGATTTTTATTTACCTTTCTTCCCTGCCTTTGTTTTGCTCACAGGCTGTTGATGATGTGAAAAAAGGTTATATCAAAGCAGAAGAAAAGTCCTACCAATTACAGAAGCTATATGAACAAAGGAAAATGGTCATGGTAGGATTATGTCCCCATAAGCTCTTTATAAAATATCCTTTCTTTTCTCTTAAACCTGTCATTCCACACATTTTGGAAAGATGTTGCAACCTGGTCAGTGGCTGAACTAATTAAAAAGAAAGGGAAAGGATATAAACCTTAATGTAAACTCCATTGTGTTCCTTCATTTAGCATGCAAAACTCTTATATTGCTATACATAGGTATGTAACTTCATTATTAATAATCAAACAGTACTTTTTAAATAAAAAATTCTAAATCAAGACATGCATACTATTACAATATAATAAAGATAAGAGTCTCTAAGAATTGATACTCGGGGCCTTCCTGGTGGCGCAAGGGGTTAAGCACTGCACTGTGAAGCAATCCGCAGTCTCTGCAGCACGAGTTGGATGCCCCAGCCAGCCAGGGATTAACCCATATGGCGCAGCAGACCTCTTCTGTCTCGCCCACTGCTCCCCTCAGCAGTGTTTTTCAGTCCGTCTGCCTGTTCTGCTCCCTACTCTGTCTGGTGAATCCTCTTGCCCTTCGCACATCTGGCCTGTACTCCAGTTCTTGTATGCATAAATAAATAAATCTTAAAAAAAAAAAAAAAGAATTGATACTCGATTTTTTAAAAATTTATTTATTTATGCATTCAAGAGCTGGGGTGCAGGCCAGAAATGCAGGGGGTGAGAGGATTGACCAGAGACAGAATGGGGAGCAGAACAGGCAGATCTACAGAAATACACTGCTGAGGGGAGCAGTGGGCAAGACAGGAGAGCTCTGCTTCACCGTGTGGGTCACCTCCCTGGACAGGGATTGAATTCATGCTGCAGTGGTTGCAACGGATAGCTTCATAGTGCTGTGTCTTAACCCCTTGCACGCCCAAGAAGGCCCCTGATACTCAATTTTTTTTTAAATATTTATTTATTTATACAAGCACTGGGGTACAGTCAGAAGCACAGGAGGGTGAGAGAATTCACCAGAGCCAGAGCGGGGAATAGAACAGGCAGACTGACGAAATACACTGCTGAGGGGAGCAGCGGGCAAGACAGTAGAGGTCTGTTGCAGCATTTGGGACCCTTGCCGTTGGCCGAACAGGCGCTGCAGAGGCTGCAGGCATCTTAGCAGCCGAGCGCTCAACCGCTACGCCACCAGGGGAGGCCCTGATACTCAAATTTTTTTTTTTTAATTTTTTTTTTTATAGAGGCATGTTTTATTTATTTATTTGTTTGTTTGTTTGTTTTGTTTATACATGCACTGGGTACAGTCAGAAGTGCGGGAGGGTGAGAGAATTCACCAGAGCCATAGCGGGGAGCAGAGCAGGCAGAAGGACCAAAGTACACTGGTGAGGGGAGCAGCGGGCGGCAGGAGAGGTCTGCGTGCCATGTGGGACCCTCCTCTGGTGGCCGGGGAGCAGCCGGGGATCGAACCGGTGCCGCAGAGGCCGCAGGCAGCTTCACAACCCAGTGCTCAACCGCTGCGCCACCGGGGAGGCCCTATGATACTCAATTTTTAACACAGGAACTGTTAGCACTTTGAGCACTTTTCTGTGGTAGGAAATCTCTGTTGATGAGAGTGACTATCATGATTTCCATCCAGTGTTTAGTTGAAACTTCAGATGTAGGGCCTTCTGGTCAAGCGTTTTGGTGATATCATCTTGTTGGAACATTCATTGTATCCCCAGGAGTGGCAGCTTTCTATAAGCTTGATGAACAAAGAAAGGATGCATAGGCAGATTTCTACAGAAATTTTGGCTCCATTAAAGATTTTGAAAAGATGTGGGAGGATGATATCTTTCAGACTACAAAGTGATCTTGAAACATAAACGATTTTTTAGCTTGGCTCCCATGGAAGTTTGTCACTGACCTGTCTTCCTGAACTAGGAAACATGAACATTTGGGCTTAGGAATAGTTTCTTTTGATAAATAAATAAATACTTTGGGGGGGGGGGGAATAATGTTAGTTGTGATTTTGCAATTGCAAAATCATTTGTTTTTACAACTTAAATCTCTGCAGTTGCATAAAACATTTATGCTCATTAATGCTTTAGTTAGTATGATATCCTTGAGATGTGCTGTTTGATTTGATACTACTAGCCTCGTATTGCTATCTAAATTTAATTTTAAATTCATTAAATAAAATGTCAAGCTCATTTTCTTCATCGCAGCAAGTTACATTGGAGAGGGCTACCTAGAATATTCCTTAAATGTTTTAAAATTACTTATCAGTTTGTGTCTACTGCAGGGATGGACATTGTCAAAAATAAAGTTTGTGAATAATACTTACAAAAACTTCTCATAGCATTTTAAAATTTCTTCCTTGGAAAATTTACAGTTAAAATTTCCAGTTAAAATATTTCATACAAGGTAGTAATTGCATTGGTCATGATTCTGATAAGGTCACTTGAATTTCTTTTGTACTTTCTGTGTACTTTTTAAGCTAATAGAATTCCATAAATGTTTAAGCATATTTCATACTCAATTTTGGTGACCCATGGAGAAACATCAATCTTATCAACTGCATTCCTGTTAACTGGGTGCTTACAAGACACAGATTTGACTTTTTATAAATTAGTTTTGTTGGAATAAGAGTGCAAACAAATCAGCCAAATTACACAAGGTTACTTAGCTGGACTTTATTAGCTCATAACCTTATGTCTAGCTGGGATAGTTATTTTATCACTTATGTGACAAAAAACCAGTAAGTATTTAGAAAATTCCCAAAGATCAGAGAATCATGTTCTCTACATACCAATGTTCTGTATACCAGCAGGCTGATAGAGACAACACAAAAATCTTTTAGATGGAATTGTCTTTATATTAGTACATGATTCTGACAACACAGCTGTATTTTTTTCAGTAAAAAGGGCCAAATACTAAAGGGCCATTAACCTCTTCATTAGTTCTTTGCCTTTATCAAAGTCAACAGAAATCAAAGTAGTTTCATAAGGGTTTCTGATAATGCCAAATGGAATAGTATTATTTCTTTGCATATATAGTATTTTAAACAGACTATCTATACATTAAACAAAAAATACTTGGACACCAAGTATGTGGGTAGGCACAGTGCAAGGTGTTTAAGAAATAAATCGTTTTGCAGCAAAATAAGGAAAATCTGGACTTAATAAGCATACTAATATGAAATCATTTCTAGAGTCACATTTGTGTCATAAAAGTACCCAGTTAAGAACTGGAATGCAGGTGATATGTTGATATATTTCTCCACGAGTCACCAAAATTTAGTATGAAATATGCTCAACTAACTTAAAAACCCAGTGCCAACATATAAATGTGTTTCCTCTCCATAATACTATGATCAGATTTTAAGAAAAATCCCACCAACATTTGCATTTTATTCAAATAAAATTTTATGTATTTAAGTATAATGTGTTTGAGGACATTAGTGAAGCCAGTAGTCAGGATCAGTACTCTGTAAGTTCTAGTGTATTGGATGGACCCTTGAAAGCTCATAGGTCTTGATACTCTTTATCTGTGGCAACTTAGTATGGTCTGTAGGCCTAAAATGAGGCCAGATCACTATGATTAATTGCCAGATCATGTGAGATCTTTAGTAATTCAACAAACTTCTCAGTTTTGGTTTTGTATGGGGATATTCATATTGCCAGCTACCAAGTAAAAGCTTAACCAAATTCTCCTCTAAGTTCTTGGTAATAAGTAGGCTTTGCCTAAGTTCCCAAATACAGAGGACAGTTTGTGTCTTTGCCATAGTTATGCCCAATGTGATTAAAAAAAGTGTTCTGATTATTTACAAAGTTAGACTGAATCTCACATTTGGATGGTTGAGAATTTTTTTTTAAACTCACAAAAATAACAGGCACATGTAAATCTTTTTTTTCTTATGTTGGAGTAGCCTGATTTTGCCATTGTTGAAATGACAATAACAAGTTTCTATGGTAGTGTTTCTCAGTGTAACTTTTAATGATTTTACACAAGTCATTGTTTCTCAAAGTATGATGCCCAGCTCAATTACATGGGGATCGCTTGTGAAGCCTGCTTCAAATGCAGATTTTTGGATCCCACCACATTCACTAAACCAGGATCTCTGGGGATAGAATCATTTAAGTCTTTTGTAAAAAGATTATTACAGACGTGTCCTGGTGATTTAGGTGCTTCAGGATCACTCCTCTAGGAGTTTGGGAGAGTTGGCTCCAAGGTTCCTCTCAGGCCCTTATTTCAGTTTCAGACCTGGTTTGACCCTTGGTGCAGGTTGTTTGTGAGAACAGAGAGTTCTCCAGAATCAGCCTCAACCCACTCACCTAAGTGTTCTGCTCTGTTAAGTACTGAGTTTCTGTGTTAATAACTGTCCTGTTGCTGTATTTACTTATCTTGCTGAACATTAAACATGCAGAAAATGTACCATGCTATATACCTTTTCTCTCCTCTTGCCTAATCTAAGTGGAATAAGAATCAAGGAAGGTAATTTAGGATGCATATTTAGCTACTCAAATTTACTCTGAAAGAAGAGTAGATAGAATCATTTTGTGTTTCAAATATATAATGACACACATAAATATGTTCGAAAACAAAATTCACTTTTCTTTTGGAAATTTTGATGTATGTAAATTTCTAAGTGTTTTCCTCTTATGCGTTGTGCAAATCCAGGAATGCAGAGGTTGCCCATTTACCGAGAAATGCTACCTGACCTGAGAGCTCTGAAAACCTTGTCTCCCCATGAGACTTTACCTCTGGCCTCACATCAAGGCCACAGGTGTCCTTAATTTTCACTCAGGTTATTTTTAGAACTTAGGCCATTAGGAAGGGCCCTGAAGGTCCTCTGGGACTACATTCTCAAATATGGAGGGATAAATCAGACTTTTGAGGCAAAAGGGAGAGAAACGGGCATTACGTGCCTGCGCCATGCAGAGCACTATGTGTGTATTCTCATTTCCTTCTTAAAACAACCTTGCAGGCCTTACCCCCACTTTACAGAGAGGTGGCGTTTGAGAGATCAAGGTTCCCATCCAAATCATATAGTTTGTCATAAGCGGAACTAGGATTTGAGCCCATTTCTGTCTGACTCCAGAGCACATGCTTTTCGCTAATTCAGAGAGCGCATGGCAGCGGTGTCCCATTTCCAGACGGCAGAGAGAACACACCCAGGTAGAAGGACCTATGCAGGATCACAGAGAGCTCAAGATAAGCCTGACTCCCTGTTGTTCTGGTCTTTCTAATCCCTCCCTTGGCTGCATGTTTCTCTCTCTTTGAAAAAAAAAATCTATACAGAACAGCTCCCAATTAGGACATGGCAGAAAGAGTTTCTTAAAAACAGTATATTCATGACTCAAATAGGAGGGTTTGTGGTCTGTTTATTATCTGTAAGTGCTTTTGGTTGTAGCACCAGGAGGACTCGTCTCCAGGCCCCGTGACACTCATGTGTCTGCAGAGGTCTTAGAGCAGGGTCTGCTGCTCTGGAGCCTGCAGAGTTTCCCAGGAATGTGTTAGGATGATAATTTGGATCAAGTGCTGGAGGCCTGATTGCAGGGCACTACGTTTTTTCTTTCAACATTTGATTGTAGGAATTTCAGTTACATAAAGAAAAGGAAAGAATAGTACATTTAGCCCCCATAGTTCCCATTATCCAGCTTCATTAACCTTCAACTTTCTGCCATTTGTGTTTCATCAGTTTCAGTCACATGCTTTTTTTCTCCTGGAGTTTTTTAGAGCAATTTCCATATACATCATCTTATGGAGTGTTCTTGAGAAAGTAGTTGAGCCCTCTGGCTAAAGATAATTAAAGCTTTAAAATTACTTTTATTTATTTATTTATTTATTTTTAAAGATTTATTTTTATTTATATAAGAGCTAGGGTACTGGCCAGAGTCGCGGGAGTGTGAGAGGATTCACTAGAGACAGAGCTGGGAGCAGAACAGGCAGACTGACCAAAGGCACTGCTGAGGGAGCAGCGGGCGAGACAGGAGAGGTCTGCTACACCATGTGGGATTCTCCCTGGCCGGCCAGGAATTGAACCGGCGCCTCGGAGGCTGCAGACAGTTTTACAGTGCGGCGCTCAACCCGCTGCGCCACCAGGGAGGCCCTAAAATTACTTTTTTTTAACTCTCATTTATTGAATACCTAATTACCGACAAAGTACTATACTAAATAATGCTTACAAATAACTGTATGATATTGGTGCTATTATTTTCCTTTTTGCAGAAGAGGAATTCAAGACTCCTGGGGTTCAGTGATTTGCTTGAGTTCAAGTTACTTGCCCCAGTTTACACAGTTAGGAACTGACGGGGCCAAGGAAGGATTCAAGCCCAGGGCAGTCGGTACCCTGGCTCTCAATTGCTCTTCCATGAATTGCTTCCTGCCCCAATCTTTGCTGCTTTTATAACCCCAGATGAGTTCTCTCTTATATACCACACTGCCTATCATATTTACAAAAGCGTATTGGCCAGGGATATCTTCTTCATAGTACTACTAGCAGGGCTAAGCAGTATTTTCATTTATCACTGATGGAGGAAGGATGATGATAAGGGGTGTTGAAGTAAGTGATAAAAGGAATAGGAAAGGGCCTCCCCGGTGGCGCAGCGGTTGAGCGCTGGGTTGCGAAGCTGCCCGAAGCCTCTGCAGTGCCAGTTCGATCTCCGGCTGCTCCCCGGCCACCAGAGGAGGGTCCCACATGGCACGCAGACCTCCCCTGCCGCCCTCTGCTCCCCGCTCTGGCTCTGGTGAATTCTCTCACCCTCCCGCGCTTCTGACTGTACCAAGTGCTTGTATAAATAAATAAATCTTTAAAAAAAAAAAAATAATAGGGAAAAGAAAAAAAACAAGAAAAATGATATAAGGGAGATATTGTGTACTTCTAAATTGACCCTGTGTGCTTGCTACTCTTTTGTAATTTTTTCTTCAGAGTTGCTATCATTTTAACTAAGCAGAAATATAAAGTTGGGAAGATAGTATGTGGCGTGCTTTTTGGTGGGACCCTTAAGTCTTCTCAGACAATTCATAGTGGCAGCAGCAAGGGTCTTAGGTGCCATTCATTGGTAGGTTGCCTGGTGTCCTTTTGTGCCTGTGTCACTTTTTCTTGGTAAGCCAGAAGGCAGCTCTCCAGTGTATTCTAATCTTCCTGCCCAGTGAGTTGCAATTAACAGGGTGCTGTACCTTTGTCTTCTCTCTCTGAAACTCTGCACCTGTCACCAATGTGCCTTGTTTTTCCAGGTACATTCTGAGAAGGAATGAGGACAGAGATGAGTCTTCTAGTTTTTTTCCCCTTATTATCTTTTCCCTATTTTATTCTTCTTCCCACTTGTTTTTGACGCCATCTCCTCTAAACTCAAAATCATGAGTTGAGTGAAAGAGGCCAGCATTAATTCTAGAGGAGAGGGGACAAGGGCGGAGTTAAATTCAGAAGTTCTGAGATCTCTGGAGTAGCATTGTACCTGTGAATGTTGTGTATGTCATTTGAGGGAGGTGTGTAACAGAGACCAGGGGTGATTTGTGGACTAGCTGGTGATGGAGAAAGGTCAGTGGCATGGGAATTAAACCTAGTTTCTAATTCCTGTCGGTCCACTTGTTACTTTAGGCAGGTGTCATATTACTCTGGGTTTCTGTAAAGTGACTAGCTTTTCAAGTCTCTTTCAACTTGCTTAATCCTCATCATAGATCATTGTAACCTTTCATTGGCAAATAGGTGGGGAAAAATACTAGTTCCCTTTCCTTAGGTAGAAGGAAAGATTCTGTTCCCATCTCTGAACAACGTAAAAGGGGAGTCCAGACAAAACGATACTGCGAGTTTCCTGCAAGTCCTAGGAGTCTTGCTTGCAATGTGTCCTTTGGCTTTATTTGTGTATCTTTTTTAAGTAGAGAAGGGGGAGAGTGTTACAAGCATGGAGGTAGATTGGAAGTGGGCTGAAAGGATCACCTTGGAGTCCCAACTTAGGGACTAGAGGCCAAGTTTCAGGTGCTGGGTGAGAGGATTCTCTCTGTTCTTTCTCTTGTGCCTCCTCAACTGCTCTTCATGGTGGTTTAGTGCCATGCTAACACTGTTTCCCTTTTCTTTGTACTCTAGTACCTCAACATGCTAAGGACTTGTGAAGGCTACAATGAAATCATCTTTCCTCACTGTGCCTGTGACTCTCGAAGAAAGGGGCACGTTATCACAGCCATCAGCATCACGCACTTTAAACTGCATGCCTGCACTGAAGAAGGGCAGCTGGAGGTGAGTGTGGGATTGGGGCAGTAGGACTCTGGGGCCACTCTGGTACTTGGCTGTGTTTTAATTCCTTCTTGGGGGCAAATAAAATCAGATTTTAACTGGGGACAATGAATAAACACTGATCCTCACCTTCATTGACAACTTACACAGACTTCTATGCTGCCAGTCTTCTCCCTGAGGTGAAGTGGACACCCCCATTCATTTCTCATCTGCCGCCTGGTTCAGAACCATCTTACCTAAGATCCCCAGCATTCTCTTACGTTCTTGTTCCCTTAGAACCAGGTAATAGCATTTGAATGGGATGAGATGCAGCGATGGGATACAGATGAAGAAGGAATGGCCTTCTGTTTTGAATATGCACGAGGAGAGAAGAAGCCTCGATGGGTTAAAATCTTCACACCATATGTGAGTGGTGGACCGTGAAGCATGGTTGGGGAAAGGTGACTGGGCTGAAAGTTCTCTGTAAGCTGAATGCATTAGATGGAGAGGGCAGTAGGGAATGGCAGTTGATTTTGAGCTCTGAATCTGCTGGAGTCCTAGAATCCCAGTTTCTTCCTGTCTTCTTCAGGCCCAACTAGGATTGGCAATTGCATAGTCCTCTTGACTCAAAGTTACCACTAGAAGGAGCCAGAGAATAATACATGGACCCAGCCTGGGGTTTGTGGTGCTTGTCAGGGTTTTTCTGTAGTCTGAGCGGGTTTGGAAATTGGGAGGACTGGGGCAGGAGTTGGAAGGCCCATTATTGCCCTGGGGTGCCCATCTTGAGAAGTCAGTGAGGCAATTTTTAATTTTTTGTTTTCAGTTCAATTACATGCATGAATGCTTCGAGAGGGTGTTCTGCGAACTCAAGTGGAGAAAAGAGGTAATTCTAAACAATCTAGAACTGATTTTTTTTCATTTAAATTCAGAGGCCTATGACAGCTACTTAGGAACCTCACTGCCACCTCTGTTCTTCTAGGAGTATTAGTTAGAGACTGGTTATCCCACGTGAGCCCAGGTAGTCTTCCAAAGAGGTTAGCCTTTGGCTCTTGAATGGACTGTGCAAAAATGCCCTGCTTCTTCTTCTTTTTTTTTTTTTTAATTAATTCATTTATACAAGAACCGGGATACAGGCCAGATGTGCGGGAGGGTGAGAGGATTCACCTGAGACAGAGCAGGGAACAGAACACTCAGACTGACGAAATATACTGCTGAGGGGAGCAGCGGGTGAGACAGGAGAGGTCTGCTGCGCCATGTGGGACCCTCACTGGCCTGCAGAGGCTGCAGACAGCTTCACAGCCTGCGCTCAACTGCCTGCACCACCAGGGGAGGCTAGCCCTGCTTCTTTTCTAGGGAGTGGCCACTCCAGGCTATTCCACCTCTTCTGACGTCATGAACCTTCCTCTGTAGTTTTTATGAAATCACTCTCTACATTGATCTTGACCCAGAAGGGCAGCTGCCCTCAGTTTTAACTGTTCTGACTGATGAGTCATGATGTTCTATCTAGGTGAACCAGGAATGTTGGGAGAGGAGAAGGGCGTAGGGGGAGGGGCTGGCTTCTGCTTTGCTGCTGTGTGTATGTGCCAGCGCTGGAGCAATAGTTGGAAGAGTCTCAGTAATTATCTATTTAATCTCAGGGAAAATGTTTCCAAGGTTTGGAAGGTAAGGTCAGGAATATGAACATTTATATTCTTGATATAGTAGTAGAAAGAACAGTAGGATCTGGGAATAAGATCCAGATTCTCTCACAGCTATTTTTTTTCTGTGTGAATTCTGGCAAAGCAGCCTCCCTGGATGTCAGCTTGCTTGTGTGTAAAATGGGAAGGTTGAATCATATAAGTAATCTGCACAGTCCCTCCCAGTTCTGAAAGGCTGTGATTTTAGATGGGAGGTTTTATCAAGAGAAGAGGCCATTTGGATTGAGTCATCCATTCAAACCTCCTCTGTTTCCATTTGAGGGGTTGCCTCCTCCAGCTGGGAGATGGGGACACCAAGGCTCCTTAGTAACTCTTCTCTTTTATTCCTTTCAGAACATTTTCCAGATGGCGAGATCACAGCAGAGGGATATGGCCACTTAGCCTTTCCTACTCCCTCTCCCTTCTCTTCACCCTCATCCTCTTATCCCTTTTCGTCTCCCATGTCAGACAGAGTAACCATTAACACAAAAGAAGAGGAAAAGGAAAAAAGTCATTATATTCAAAAGCCCTAAACTAAATATTATTAATAATCCCCCAGAATTTCATGTCTCTGGAATTGAGCTGGTAGAGAACAACAGATTGGTCAGCACCAGGAGTCAACTGAGTTAAGCCAGAAAAAAAAAATAAGCCCAAACCAACTCGTCAAAGGTATCTTTGTCCGTTCACCTGGGCCGCATACCCACAGACTCTCCTTGTACTATATTTTTGAAACTGGAACTATGAACTCCATCCATTTGCACTGTTCGGACATATATATGTATGTATGTAAAAATTATATATACACAAATTAGCTGCACGTATATACATATATATATATTTCTTTTTAAATTTCATATCGATGGCAGTATCTTTTTTAGCTTGTGTTTTTACACACCTTTCACTAGAATTCATGACTTCTCTCTTGCTCTCTTTATTTTGAAACAAACTTTAAAAAGGAAAAAAAAATATTACAGGGAAAATACCTCTCCTCATGAAGGACTCGAAAAAGTTTACAACCTGCTTGGGTTTTTTTCCCCTTTTTTTGTATTGAGTGAAGATTCTGGCTCACGGGTTGCCATGGAGTCTGAGGAGCAAGGTGCATAGTTTATTTATCTTCCAAGAGGCTGCTGGATAGTAGAAAGAGGTGTGTTTCTAAAGGGCAGCAAGCTGCAGCTCTGCAGGGAGAGTCTAAAGACTGGTATGGTTTCTTGATTCCAAGACAGTTTTCCTGATCCATCTTTCTTCCACTCATGGCTTTCTAGCCGCCTTCCACATCTTCCTGCTTTCTGAGGGCCCCTTGTAAGCTCTCCCTCAAGTAAGCTAAATGGAGGGGAGTTGGGTTCAGGGGGTCGATGCCACAAGAACCCAAAACACTTCATGGTTATAATTTCCCATTTCCCTGCCTGTTTTGAAGCAGGGATCGTACCAGGGACCAGAGTTAAGGCTGATACCTTTAGGCACAAAGATTAGATTTAGGGGAAGGAAGAAATGCCCTGTGTATATAAACTTTCCCTACTCCATTCCTGACCAGTAGCCACTCATAACTATTACGTTCTCTGTGACTTCCTTAAACGAGCAGTGTTGGAGAGGAATGTTACTCGGGGTGGCTTGGAGTGGGTCAGGGTCTGTGCCAACCAAACCACAGCCCATCCAAGCCAGCTGAGGACCAGGAACGAGCAGCAGGAATATGCTTGATTTGGGTTAGATCTCAACTTTTAATTAAGAGGAGACTGAAGCAAAACCTTTGTGTGCCTCAAAAAGCTCCTCGTCTGACCTTGCAGTTTGCCCGAAGAGCCATATCCCAGGCTCAAGGGCCAGGGCTAATGGGCCAGGCCACAGTCTGAGCCCCTGGGCTTGAGAACAGTGGCATCTGGAATTCTAGCTACGTTCTGATGCCACTGAAGCATGTCTTTGGGCCTTCTTTTCTTTTTCCCTTCTCCGCTTTGTAAAGAAAAACCTCCATAGGGTGGTGTCTTTTGCTTTGTCTCACGGGAGACAACCACAGTAGGTTGTAGTGATTCCACTGAGCAGTGTTGGGTGATTTCAAGTTCCCTTTTTTTGTAACTTGTTTTTGCAGATTGTGGTGAGGCACTCTTCTTCCTCCCTCCCTCTCTCTCTTATCCTGACAGTCACTAGCCCCGGGGCGGGTGGGGTAATAGAGGACATCCCATCTTCCCTCCCTTTCTCCAAATCCAGGAGGAATCATAGAGTAGAAGATGTAAGAATGCTGAATATTTAAAGTTGAACAGTGATCCCTGATTTGAAGGCTTTGATACAGATGAGCTGCTTTTGGCTTAAATGGATAATGAGCCAGAGGACTGTAGAAAGATGCGTTGACTTCCCACTTCAAGATGCTGAAGAGGTTTTACACCAGCTTTATTCAAACTAAAAACAGCAGCAATTTGCCCCTGTACCCTCCTTGTGGGAGAGGAATAAACAAAACTCGTTGTCCGTACAGCTGCCCAAGTGCCGACCTCTGCATGTGACTACGGGGGTGAGGCTGCTCCCCCGTTCTGACATGGCTCTGGAGAGCATGAGGGCGACCTGGGTAGTCAGCCGCCTGGCAGAATCTGTTTAGGAACAGCCCCTTGTAGAGGCTGTACCAAAGTACCCTGCTGCACGGGAGGGGCAGGAGGGAGACCCGGAGGACAGCCTTCTCTTCCTCCCCAGCAGGCCTGCCATGGAGACAGGTCACTATGGCTGAGAGCCCCGTAGGTTCAAGTTTTTCTTTGCATGATGCAGTGTTAGTGTGACACTCCTTCCCCTGTGCTCTGCACTTCCTCTCCCTACTACCTTTCTCAGTCCTCGGTTCTGTCCAGGGAGGCTTCCTACCCAGTCTTTTGCAGTTTGTCTCTGAAAAACGGCCCCCCTCCCTGTGCTTTGCCCCAGCAGAGCCAGCAGGATCTTTCTGGTCTCCCTTTGTCCTCCCCTCCACACTGTTTCTATCCTCTTTGGTAAAAAAAAAAGCTGTTTTTTATGGATCTGGAGAAAATGCAGGCCCTGAGAAACCTGTCCCTGCAGAAAGGTTCCCTTGGGTCCTGCTTAGGGCTCTCTGCTCTTTATATTTTTATTCTCTCCATTTTTCTGCCCTCCCCTTGCCCTAGGCCTGAGCTCAGCACAGATGAGTGCTCAAGGCAGCTCATAGGCCTGGACAGAGCTCTCAGGGAGGAGTTAGGTAAATGTTCAGCATCTCCATGCCTGGCCCAGCTGGTTTCGTCCTTTAGTTACATACCAGTAGCTTTGGAGCTCCAAACCCAGTGCTCAGAGCAGCGCCGTGGGGTAGGGCACTGACAGGTGGTGACGCCTCTCTCTTCTGGCAGAATCTGCCAACTTAAAGGCCTGGCTCCCAGGAGACAGTTTCCTTAACGGGAAATCTCCAGAACTAGAGGGACCACTGTGCTCCCCCTTTTCTGCATCGTGCTCTCTGGCTGGATTGATTCAGCAGTGGAAACTGTGTAGTCCGTTGGGCCAGCACACTGCTAGCTAGGTTCCTTCACCAGGGTCATTGTGTCACGTAGCTTCCTTTGGGGGGGAGACTGGTACAGTTGAGCTCCTCAGCACAGAGGCAGTGGGTGTGCTGCTTTAGCCACCATCTTCCAATTCTATCTGCTGTCTTCCTCCTCTTCTAAACCTGAGCACATCATGCCGGGCCTCACTCATACCAGAACAACATCAGCTTACTCCTCAGCAATAATCCAGGGTGTGTAGGAAGCTGAGGGCTCCAAGGAAGAGCAGAATTGAAGAGGGGGTGATACGGGGTTGGAGGCACTTGGCCAACTGCTAAACTTGGACACCAGTTTTATATCATGCCCCCTTGTTAGGCCAATGAGCTGGGCTTCAGTTTTCCCCAGGCCATGCACACTTTTAATTTATTTGAGAGAAACTCTAATTGTATTTTCACTGCAGTATCTTGTATTTTTTATTTGTGATTTAAGAAATGTGAAGAGAAAATACACAGACACATAATGGCTAACAGTGTTTCTTTCATTCCTTGTTCTAGAGCTAACCACTCTAAAATTGTTTGGTAATGTCACTTAGTGTAATTAATTGTAACATATTCTTTTAAATAAATTGATTTATTGATGAAACTACTCTTTGGTTTCCTAGACTACAAATCCTTTGGGTTATGTGGGAAGAAGCAAAGAGGGACCTTTGAGATTTGAGTTAAAATGGTCAGTCTGAAAATGGAAAGGAATATCCCACCCGCTTTTTCCGTCACTTAGTGAGGCAGTCTTTTGAGAACAGGAGACGGAGAAGGGCAGGGAAAAGAGAAACTGGCAAGGCCCCTGGTAAAAAATTGTCTCCAGGTGCCTCCTCTAGAAAGTCCCCCTTCTCTCTCCGATCTCAGATTGCCCAGAACCATGTGACAAACCACTGGACCCTTCCTTCAGCCCCTCCTTTAGCCCTTGTGCAGAGAGCACCTGGCAGAGAGCCCTGGCACAGATCTGGTCCGCCACCCCAAGCAGCGTGGATATACTTCATTTTTCAAGTAACTCAGGAAGCTGTTCTGACTCAGGAGTCCGAGCTGACAGGTATATCTGACTCATGAATGCCCGCGCAGTGCTGGGTGTGGGCCCAAGATCAAGGTGGTCCTCTGCCTTGCTGTTGCTTTTACAGGGGAGTCTCAGGTGCCTGATTACCTGCTCTTAAGAGTCCTGGCTCCTCTCCGTGCTGGAGTTCATGGGCTGAATCTGCTCTGTAAAGCTGGGTGTTTGTGTAAAGTAGGATGGTTTTGAAGACTTTTATAATCCTTGACCCATATGCTTCTGCTCCTTGGTTGATAAGCAGCAGAGGAAGGGCTAGCTTACGTTTTGCTTGGCAGTTTGTGGAAAGATACTGTTCTAGGCCTCATTCACTAAACCATTAGCAGTGACTGGAATCTGGTGGGGAAAAAGTTTTTTTCTTGGACAAGGCAAGGATGTATAGAGGAGAAAGTAAATTCCAGAAGTTAAAATCAACAAATATTTATTGAACGTGTACTATCTGCAGAGTCTGGTAGGTACAAAGCAAAGAAACGTCTTTGTACTCCCGGACCCGTAGAGGAAGGAGAGACAGGCCAAGACGGGAGAAGCAGCAGCAGAAGTCACCTGTGCCGGAAACTAGAACAGGAGGACCACCTTTGGAAGAAAGCAGTTAAACTCCTTGTGAAAAAAGTAGTGTTTTAGGTGACCTGTTTAGGGCGGGCAGATTTCAACAAACTCCATTCAGCCAGTATGTGCCAGATACGGTAACTGGGGATTTGGGATTGAAAAGATGTGGGTGGGGAGCGGATCAGACCTGTTAGGATGAAAAGTCAATATATTTCATTAGAACTTAGGTTATGTATAGAAGTGAAATGGAAGCCAAGACTCTGAAGAGCATTAACGCCAGAGTGGAGCTCTACGTAAAAGAATTAGAGTTGTGTTTTTTTTAAGTCAGCTGCAGTTTAGAAAGATTAGGGTTTTGGGATACATACAGAAGGATCAATTAGGAGACTGCTATGGTTG